CCGGGCGGCGGGGGGGCGGGTGAGGGGTTCCCCGCTCCGCAACAACTCCGCTCCCCGCGGCTGCAAACTTTTGCGGCGCTCCCCAGCAGCCGGGCGAAGCGGCGCCCACAAAAATAATAATGGTAAAACAACAAAAATAATCAATCAGAACCGCTGTTCGTCTTTTAGAATTCAAGAAGCACAGGAATCGCTCCGGGCGGCGGGGTGCGGGTCCCCTCTCCCGCCCCGCGGTCTCGCTCTGTCTGTCCTCGCAGGTTCAAGTGCTGTGTCCCCACGGCGCCTGCCCCCCGGGCCGGTGCGAGCCCCGGGGCTATGCTTGTTTGGGGGCGGGCGGGCGGGCGGGCGAGCTCCCCCCCCAACTCTTGCGAGGAGCCCCGCGGCACGAGCCCAGCGCCGCCGCGAGCAGCGCTCCCACCACGCTCTGGCGAGGCGCGGCGACTTCTTTGCCGAAATGTAGCGGCCGCCGAGGCGTTTGCATGCTGATACATATTCAGAGCGGCCGGGCCGCGGGGCAGGCTGGGAGCTGTAGTCCCCCCCCCGCGGCGGGGCCCGGCTGTCAGGCGGCACAGCCCTACAGCTCCCGGCAGGCCGCGCGCGCCCTCCTCGCGCCCCCTCCCTCCTCCAGTTTCTACTCCGCCCCTCAAAGGGCGTCGCCGGCGACCAATCAGCGGCGGCGGCACATTAATCGCCGTTCTGTATTAATGCCCATCATTTCGCCGCTGACAAATGGGCAGAGAGGTAGGGGAGAAAGGAAGGGCGGGGGGGAGGTGGCTCGGCTCTAAGCCCCCACGTGGGGCTCCGACGTGACAGCGGAGGGGCGGCCAATGGGAGGCAGCGAGAGGCTGGGCCGCGCCCCCGTCGCCGCCCACCTTTCGCTCTGCCCGAGGTGGAGCTTTGAGATCGCTGACGTTCCAGAGCGCCGGCGTTCGAACAGGGGAAACATTTGTTCAGCTGTCAATCAAAGTAACGTGGGGTGGCGGCTGCTGCTGCCGCTGCCGCACCGCCGCAGCATCTAGTGTGCGGGGTGGTGGCACAACAAGGGGAGGGTGGGGGTGGCGGGGGGATGCACCCCCCCACCCCGTGCCACTCCGTGCCGCCGCCTCACCCACCCCGGGAGGAAGGCGGACTAATTAGGGGGTAATGTCTCCTTAAAGAGACAAGCTCGGCCTTGTGTAACGTGCCGAAACCCCTGTTGAGACAAGAGAGGGAGGATCACGCTGATCCCACTTCTTTCAGTTCACATCAATTTTACGCGCCACTGGAGCTGGCATAATTTTCATGTGAACGGGGCTGAAGCTCTTGCGCTTACTTGGAGCGAGCTGGGCAAGGAGGGGGGGCTGCCTGGTCGCTCCCTTGTGGCTTTAATGTATAGCCATTTACACACACATACATACATGCACACCAGTACATACACACAACAGGACTCCAGTGCCTCCCCACACACATATGCACACACTCATGTACACATGTACATGCACACGCATGCGCACACACTCAGGTACATACACGCACACACCCAATAGGACCCCAGTGGCCACCCACACACATACACATTTACATGCACATGCATATATGCATGCGCCCAGACATGCGCACACACATGTGCATGCACACAACCATGTACATACACACACACACACACACACACACACACCTCTTCAGCTGAGGGATCTAGTAAGGTTCCCTCCCCACCCCATCAGTCAACATGGCAAACGGGAAGGGCAAGGGTTACAGCACACACACAAGCCCTGCCTGAGGCGATGCACTGCTCCCAGGTACATTTAGGTTGGGAGGCGAGGGGGGAAAGAAAGCACTGCTGGGTCCTTCATTTTTTTTGCCCACGGGAAAGAAGGATTTGAGGCCACTTCGGTTTGGTGGCAGGCAACCCATCCCCACACGGGACACAGCTCCCACTTGCTGTTACTGATGAATGCTGGAAAAAATATATATGGTAGCTTCACTAAAAGTACCTCTTGTTCATCTGCAAAATCCCCCTTTTTCTCCGCCCCCCCCCCCCCCCCCCCGGCAATGCCCAAACTTGCAGAGCTGTCCAGCCCAGTAACTCAGCCTTCTCCAGCTGGACCCCTCGGGCAGCACTAGGCTGGTCCAACAAGGCTGAAAGCACATAGGAATGCAGGTAGGAACCACACAGCTCCTATGCAGCTTGCACAGGACCCCAGTGGGCACCCAGCTCGCCTACCTTTACATGTAGATGCTTGTTAGGAGACAACGGGGCCATTTGTTTTCCCCATCTCAGATCTGTCACAGTAAGGAAATTCCAACTGAACCCATGCAGAATCTTTTACCCTAAAGGAGGAAAAATGAATTGAGGTGCATCATTAGTATTCCAAAATGTATTGCTGGTGTTTGGTTGCCTTCTGTCCCTGCCGATGAAAGGGTCTTTATGTCACATTTATTAACACAGACACAACATCCTATCCACTCTGTCAGTAGTTCTCCTGTGGGATTCCTATGCATTTGACTGCAAGAAGGATGACATGGTGGAGAGACATCATCATGTCCTACTATGGAAGGACCCAGATTCCTATCACTGGGTTCAAAAGAACCCATTGGTTCCTTTTATTACTGACCCCGACTGTTGCCTTTCTGGTACACTTGTATCCTTATTAAAAACACACACACACACGAGCCAGACAAAAAAACTTCCCCAAACACCGTATTTTACAGAAGTTTTGCCTAGGCATTTTGGACCATAAACAAGCAGTAACATTCTACTAGTGACATCTCTCTCTTTACTACTGAACTACTGCACCAATTGCCATACCTCTCAGCTGTCTTTATTGCCAGAGACTGGCTTCATTTTAGACCCTCTATCCTATACTACTGTAAATTATTTACATCAGAAATGCTAAGCAACTGAAAGTGAGGTTATAAAACAAATACTTATTGATGTCAAAGAAAGCAGTCCCACATCATTTAATGCTTCCTGAACTGTTGTTTTCCTCCTATACCCAGTTATATAGTGGCCCACAATTTGGCTTTGACAGGTTGAGGCGTATAAGGTTAGTAGCTACTGTGGGCAACATAATTTAGGGCTTGTTCCTGCAAACTTACTTATAAGAGTTTTACCTGAGGAAGACAACTTGCTGAAAGATAGCTATGGTTTTTTGGGCCACTCATAAAGTTTACAGGTTCAGATGTTTAACAGCGTGCTTTCAAGACTCAGTCACACATGTCTGATAGGGATTTTTCCACTGAGGTCAAATAGGAGCAGGTCTCCTAGGAGTGCTAACAGTATTCAAATGTCTAAAATGCAGATAAAAACCTCAGATTCAATCCCAAAGACATTTAGGGCTTGTCTATACCTCTCCAGTAGCTACTCCTGAGGACTAGTCCATGCAAGTTCACCAACATCCTCCAAACCCACAAATTCACTACTTAGGCTGCCCTGGGCTCATCCTCAGGGAACACCCTCCGGCCCTAAACTTGGAGTATGCTCTCTGACTAGGGTGGGTGAGACTTGCTTAGGCCCATCCTCCTTAGGATTAGCTGCTGCCACAATACAGACAAGCCTAATAGCCAGCTCTGGTGTCTCTGACTTCTCAAAGCTTCCACTAAGGATCTGCCCAGTACTCGAGGTTCCTAAATTCCCTAGGTTTCAGACAGGAAGTTTTTACCACTGCAAGTTTTTGGATTCTGCAAAGTATCTGAACATCTGAGCCCAATGACCTTCCTGGAGTGGGCATTCCCCCGCCTTTCTCATTGGCATGATCTGAAAACACTTACTGGTTTGGACCTTTTATGGTAGGAGTCCACTGGAAGAGTTATTGGTGGGCTCCTACTATTGCCCACACCACCGCCTCCTCTGTCTGGTTTTCACCCTCACCAGGGTTTTAAACCCTGATTTCCAGCCTCCTAGCTAAGTGTTTCTAGCACTAGGCTGCAGGGTATGCTGAGGTGGATATCCCTCAAGGTCTCCTGGTGAAGCTATTTTGCTTTGTATAAAATGAATATTCACTGAAGCAGGAGTAGAACCCTGAACGCCCAGGTCAGTGCCCAAATACCAAGCTATTGCTTTTTCCCTGGCCTACACTATTGGCCATGATTTGGGCACCCAAATGTGTGTCCAACAGGTAAATGTAACAACACTGAACCTAAGTGTGGTTTAAGAATTTTGAGCATTTTCAATTGATTATTGAGCTCTCTTGATATTTTTTCAAGATATGGGCTTGAAGCACTTTTCTGAATCTTTGGGCACCCAAATGATTTTTTAAATCTGGCCTTTAATGTATCCCCTTAGATGCTGAGTACATTCAAGTCCCACTAAAGACTGGAGCAAGCTTTGAAGCAAGAATATACAAGTGCCCAGCATTCAAACACTTAAAGACAAGCATACCTAGAGTCACCTGACTAAAGCAGGTGAGTTGATAGTGGCAGACCAGACTATAAGGAGAACTAACCGTCTGAATTGACAAAGTTCTTAGCCCCTCTTGGAAGGTACTAAAAACGTTCTCACTCTACAATTTGAGGATCAGACTCTAAAATCTGGAAAGG